TTACTATGTGCCAGTGTGGCTAGGTGGCTTAGTGGATGGAGTGTTTGGCCTGAAGTCAAGAAGACTCATCTTCCTGAGTTCAAATTTGGCCTCAGACACTTACTAGCTGTGTGACCCTGGGCAAGTCACTTAACCCTGTTTGCCTCAGTTTCCTCTTCTGTAAAATGAGCTGGAGAAGGAAATGGCAAACCCACTCCAGTATCTTTCCCAAGAAAACCCCAAATGAGGTCACAAAGAGTTGGATGCGACTGAAAAAATGATTGAATAAGAACACATGTGCCAGACACTGTGCTAAGAACTTCACAATTATTATCTCATTTGAATCTCACCACAACTCTGGGAGGCAGATACTATTATTATCTCCATTTTACAGATCAGGAAACTGAGGCAAACAAAAGTTAAGTGGCATGCCCCAGGTCACTCTTCCAGTAAGTGTCTGAGGCCAGATCTGAATTCAGGTCTTCCTGATTCCGGGCCCAATGCTCTCTCCACTATGCCACGTAACTGCCCCAAGGAGGAATATATCAGTTGCCAAGTCCTGTCATTTCTACCTCTGCAATATCTTTTGTTTTTTCTTCCTTTCAATTTCCACTGCTGCCAACTAACCTCAGGTCCCCTCACACTTCTTTTCACTCAGACTATTGCAATAATCTCCAAACTGGCCTTCCTGCCTCTAGTCTCTTTTGTCCATTCATCCTTTGTGTAACTGCAGGGGTAATTCTCTTAACATGCCTCTCTGGTCATGCCACTTTTCAAAAACCTTTGGTGGCTCCTACTGCTTATGAATCAAGTATAAACTCTGATCCTGGCATTCGATGCCCTGCAGAGTATGGCTCCAACCTGCTTTTCAAGCCTTACCTTACATTATTCCCCCTTTGTTGTTGTTCAGTCATGTCCAACTCTTCATGACCCCATTTTGGGTTTTCTTGGAAAAGATACTAGAGTGGTTTGCTATTTCCTTCTCCAGATCATTTTACAGATGAGGAAACTGAGGCAAACAGGGTTAAGGGACTTACCTAGGGTCATGCAGCTAGGAAGTGTGTGAGGCTAGATTTGAACTCAGGGAGATGAGTCTTCCTGACTCTAGGCCGTTAGGCTGCCTTAATTGAAAGTCTGGTTAGTATGCAGATATATAACTAAAAGATAGAATAGGAGAGTGGATAGAAGGCTGGCTGCAGAGCCACAGTGATCTGTGTTCAAGTTCTGCCTCTGACACATCCTGGCTGTGTGACTCTGGGCAAAGCGCTTAACTTCTCAGGGCTCTGGGCAACTCTGAGTTGCAGAAAGGTCCTAAGCTACATTGGTAGAAGGAGTTCCCTCACCTGAAGGTCCCTATCTGAATGAAATCACAGTCACGTCCCTAGCCCATGCACAGTCCAGAATGAGGAAGGAGGCAATGTCATTGGCCTTTGCCCTGACCAGAATCCATCTCTGTCCACTTTGGGTCACCACATTTTTGGAAGGACAAACCGAGGTGTGTCCAGAAAGGATGACTGGAATGGAGACTTGAAAAGATGTTATGTAATCAATCAATTAATCAACCGACAAGCATTTATTTAACACTTACTAAGTGCCAGGCACCCTATTAAATTCTGAGAATTTAGAGAAAAAGTGGAAAGTGTCCCCGCCCTCAAGGCTTACATTGTAATTGGAGGAGAAAACATATTCCTAAAGTGGAGGACATGAGATACAGAGTAGATGGAATATAGCCAAGAAGGGGAAGGTCCTGGCAGCTGGCAGAACCTGGAAAGAGCTAGACAAAAGAGGCTGAGGTTGGAAAGGGAATATTTTTGATCACTGTTTTTAACTCTCTGAAGGGCTGTCCTGGAGACGAGTGATTAGCCTTATTCTGCTTGGCCTCATTGGGCAGCAATAGGACCAGTGGGTAGAAGTCATAGGGAGGTAGATACTGGCTCAATACAAGGAAAGATTTCCTAAAACTCAGAGCTGTCTTGAAGGGTGAGGTGGTTTGTTCCCTATCTCTGGAAGTATTTAAGCAGAAGCTGGAGGACAGACCACTTGTTGGGATATTTGAGATTGGGGTGGGTTGCCCTAGATAACCTTAAATTTTACTTTCAGCTCTGACATCCTGGTACTCTAGATCTGACTGTGGGTATGAAAACGGCAAGAATGAGAAGACCCTGGCAGACCTTTCACGGCACTGCACACATCCTGTGCAATTGTGGAGATGGCTAACCCCATGGACACCGGGTCACGGGGCCAGAGAGCACAGACACCAGCCCCCCAGAGTTTGGAATACAGCAGGAGGCTGAGCATTAAAAGAAGCTTTTACATGCTGTTGTTTTGGAATAGAGAAAGGAAACCATTCAGTTTAATTCAAGTGCAGACTCTCTTTGTTTCTTCCATATGTTCTGCCCATGTGCTCTCTATTTCCAGGGGTCACTTCAAGACCCATCAACAAAGGCTAATCCAGCTCTACCATTGGCTGGGAAGACTCAAGTCTGGAACTCAGTATCTCCATCTTTCCAGTTTCAGTGGGAACTGAAGCTTGGTGTTAGTATTCACCGCTATGATGTATGAATTCCAGAAATGCCTGCCACTCTCAAATCCTTGGCTTCAAGGATGCATAGGACCCTACTATTGCCAGTGATTAAGGACAAACAACGGGGAAGATCCCTTCTGGGGAAAGTGGGTGTGCCAAAATAACGATCACAGAGTGGTTTTGTAAGGTCTAGCCATAGTTCATCCCCCTACCAAATTTCCAAAATATATGGGTTAATCTAGTCTTGAATGCATTAGGAGATTCAATCAGAAGGCAGAATAGCAAACAGGAAGTTGTACATTCACCATATTCACTGTAGATCTACTTAGAGGATTCCAATATGGAACACATATCCCTGCTGGTGATTAAGGACAAACAGTGGGGCTTAGAAACAAAACTCTCTCAGGGAGAAAGGACATGGTCAAAATCATGAAGACAGTGAGGATAAACCAGAGGGCATCTGGAGCAAAGCAGAGTTTGGAGTTTATAGGAACAATTCCAAGGCTGGGGAGGGGGTGGGGTCAGTATAGAGCATATCAGGGAGACTGAGAGCATGCTATGAAGGGGAGAAGGATGTGCCAGAGAAGATGATTTGTCCCAAGTGATTTCCTTATCCTAGACAGTATTTTTTAAAATGTCATCATTAACAATTAGAGCTATCAAATTTCTAGCTTAAGACTCATTTGAGGAAAATGCATTGCAGAAATCTAGTTAAAACCAAATGGTGAACACAACAAACACTATTATGTCCCAATCTGCCTCTTTTAGGTGCAAACCACACAGACAGCCATCCAGCACTGGGCACCCTCATCTGAGCAAATGTGAAGAGCCTGGCTTCCTATGACCTATTCTAATATAGTGGCTACCTAAGTACAAACATGTGTCTTAGGAAAATCATTGAACTTTCTTTGCTGGAAGAAACCTCATACACAGACTTGAAAACAAAATAGGAAAAGCACTTATTCATCACTTTATACAGAGAAAGGAATCTGCATTTATTCTATTTAAATAGGCTTAAAAAACCCCCAAACAAACAAACTACCTAGCTACGAAGCACTCTGTGTAAAAGGAGAGGAAGTAAATCTCAAACGAGACAATGATACGAAGCACTTAGGAACTCTTAGAGCAGAATAGGAACGTCAAATGTGGCAGTGGCTGTCCCATGGAACATGCTCATAGTGGTAATTCCTCATTCAGGTTGCTCCCAGGGCAGCTTTGGGGACTGCTTCTGGCCATGTGGTGACTAAGTGTGGAAAGGACTTAGTGTTTTGACAGGATATGACAAACCCTGAGTGGTACTTTGGCCCTTCCTCTGGTATGTATGTATGTATGTATGTGATAACGTAGGGTTGGGGTGGTGGTGCTGGTCAGTTAAAAGAAAACACAGGGACAGCTAGGTGGTGCAGTGGATACAGAACTGGCCCTGAAGTCAGGAGGACCTGAGTTCGAATGTGGCCTCAGACACATAACACTCAGTAGCTGTGTGACCCTGGACAAGTCACTTAACCCCAACTGCTTCATTAAAAAAAAAAAAGACACAGCTTCTGGCTCTGGCTCTCTTGTCTCAGCTCCTAGAGTGGCATCATGTCACTTGGAGACTTTCTAGTGAATGTGGAATTCCATTAGATTATAAGCTTCTTGAGGGGGAAGGGGTATCTTTTGCCTCTTTTTTTGTATTCCCAGAGCTTAGCATGGTGCTTGGCATGGAGCAGGTACTTAATAAATCCTTATTGATTAACTGATTGATTCGCTGGCTTTCTCCATCTCAGCATCTTGGGTAGCTTTTTGAGCTTGTGTCTGTCTGGGCTCCTGGCTGCCTCTATCTTGTGTGTGTGTGTGTGTGTGTGTGTGTGTGTGTGTGTGTGTGTGTGTGTGTGTGTGTATGTGTGCATGTTTTCCCTCTGATCTTAGGAGAATGGATGTATCTGGACTTGGAGGTAACCTTGTAAGTTAGAGAGGTCTAGAGGGCCCTGAGTCCCATTGGGTCAGAGCCAAATGATGGCAGGGGAGAAGTCTCCCCGGCAACTCCATCAGCTCTCTCAGAGATAATGGCTCTCTGCAGTAGCATCCCCACAAATGTATTTGCTTGGTATGTATTTTTAACTTATTTATATGTGTACACATTTTCTCTGAGAGAGTGTAAATTCCCCAAAGGTGGGGACTATTTTTTTTTCTTTGTAGCCCCAGAATCTAGCTTAGTGTTTGGTATAGAGTAGGTCCTTACTAAGCGCCCATTGACTGATTGACTGGTTACATCAAAATCTACAGGGTGGGTGGGTTTTAGTAATTAGCTACCAAGCTCTCTCAGTAAAAGAGAATTCTGAGATAATAGGTAGAAAGTGCTTTGGAAAACTTGAAGGTATTTTTGGAAATGTCAGCAACTGTTATCATTGTGGTTGTGATGAGGATAGCATCTGGCTACTTAAGCTTAGCCTATTAAAGGAGGCATACGCTCCACGGTTTCAGGCGTGTTAGAGTGCATTCAAGAGGGGCTTACCCGTGGGCCAAAGTCTCCTGGCTCTCCCTGTGGATCACAAAACAATGAAAAGTCAGTATTCAGCAGTGGTGGGAGATTCTGCCATTAGCCCAAATTTCTTAGCAGAATCATGGGAGCTGGAGCAGGAGGGGACCTTAGACAGTCTGTAGTCTGGAGGTACCAAACTTGTAGCCTGCAAAACTCCTGAATGTTGCCTGAACTAGATTAAAATGTAATTGGTAAATGTTTAACAAAATAAAAAAAATACAATGTAACATAATGTTTATTTGTGGTTTTCTAAGTCAATATGTAGCCTGCAAAGATTTGTTTCTATTTGAGCTTGACACTACTGCTTTTGTCAAACCCCTTTATTTTACAGATGGTGAAATTGGGATCCGGAGAGGGAAACTGCTTTGCTTAAGATCATACAGTTAATGACAGTAGAGCAGGGAAGGTAATTCAGGCCTCCTAGCTTTAAATTTGGTCCTCTTTCTTTGATATCCCATGTCAAGTCTACTAAAGATTCCTTTGCTAAGGAGTTGGGAAAATTCGATTCAGCAAACATGAGTTAGGTCCCTACTTTGTGGAGGGCACTGTGGTGGGCATTGCAGTAGATACAAAATTTAGATGGGATTCATTCTCTGCCCTCATGAAGCTTTGTTGTTCAGTTGTTTCAATTACGTCTGACCCTTGGTCAGACTATTTGGAGTTTTCTTGGCAAAGACACTAGAGTGGTTTGCCATTTTCTTTTGCAGCTCATTTTACAGATAAGGAAATTGAGGCAAACTGGGTTAAGTGACCAGCTCAAGGTCACACTACTAGGAAGTGTGATTTGAACTCAGGTCTTCCTGACTCTAGGCCCGGTGCTCAATTCACCATGTCACCTAGCCTCCCCTTCGTGAACTGAGAGGCTAGATAATCCAGAAGGCTCTTCATTCCCTAAACCCTATGATTTCTACCAAACCATTCAAGCTGTCATGTCATCTGATATTACCATCTATCACCAGGTCCTACAACCAAGATTGTTTCATCTGGAGAGATCTTTTAAAATATCTGCTTCTGAGGAGGACTAAACAGTACAGAACTAAGTATATGCTTGGTAGAAGCTATACTTTATGCCAGAGGGAGCCTTGGACTGGTTATGTGCCTTAGCTACTAAGCAGCTGTGTGACCTTGGACAAGTCTTCCCTTTACCATTACCTTGGCTGGAAAAAATGAGGGTGCATGACTAGAAAGTTCCTAAGGATCCTTCTGGCTCCAATGGCCTATGGTTCTATGAAGTTCTAAGAGGGCATCTCTCTACTCTTCCCTCCCTCACATATTTACATTACTTAAAGAGATTCTTCTGTTCCTATGCCAACTTACCTTTTCACCTTTAGGTCCCGGCAATCCCTAAAGAAACGAGGACAGAACAAGACAGTGGCTTGTCAGTTATGAAGATACCAGAACACACTTGTCTCTTCAGCTTTTGGGCTGGGGCTCTTCTTGCTGTCTGGTTTGGGCATCCCTGAGCTTAGAGAGTAGGTGACTTGGAGGCCAAATAAGGCCAGGACAAGCCTTAGCAGTTAATTAACAAGCAGTCATGTACACAGAACAAGAGCAACCTCTGATCCCCGGCCTACTACAAGCAAGCCTTCTCCTCCCTTGCTTGCTTGCACATGATTGACAGCCAGGGTTCTAAGCATCTGGTCACCCCTGGAAGCCCCAGGAATGGGGCTAGGTGGTAGAGCCCCAGCAAGGACACACCTGTTTCCTCTCTCTACCCAACACAATGCCCTCAAACTAAAGAAGGAGAGGAAAAACGCATTTTTCCAATTACAACATCACGTGCTGTGAACTTTATTCAGGCTCTTTGCAAAGAGAAAGAGTAAACCATTTCTAAACGCACATGCTCAGCAGGGACTGATTTGAGTATGTTTTTCTCAGTTATCCATCTGTTTGAAATAAGCCAGATGGATGGGCAGCTTTTTTTTTTTTTTGTAAGCCTGGTGCTTTGAGTTCATGTCTGCTGAAGGGGATCTCTGGGGGCAGAAGCAGAGAGACTAAGGGGAGCCCTGAAGTGAGGCCTGACTTTGATGCACTCCAGATTGCATCCTCAGGTCCTAAGGAACCCCTTTCTTTCCATTCATTGCAAAGGCCAGGGTTTCCTCAGGGGAGACCCCAGGAGGAAGCTGGGTGAGAAGGTGGCCACATGTGGGACCACACAAGGGCTGCGCAAGGGGCACACAGTTCTCATGGTCAGTCTGCTTCTATGGACATGGACTCCAGGCATGCTCTTTGTTCTCCTGGCTAATGATCAGATCTGGAATGGATCAAATAGGGCAATGTACATAAAGGCCTTCAGAACCCTAAAAGTGCTACAGAAATGTGGACTATTATTATTATTAACAAAAATATCATCAGAATCACAAAAGAAAGATAGTGGAACAGCAGCTTGTCCTAGGATTGTTCCTAGCTGAACTCCATCAAACAGAAAGAGAAGATCAGAATAATAATGGACTGGCAGGGAGCTTCCTGTCGCTGGAAGTCATAGTAACAGTTAGGGCTGGAAGGGAGCCAACTCTCTTACTTTAAAGAGGAAGGAATGGAGGCCCAGAGACTAGTCCTGTCCAAGGTCACTCAAGTGGTGAAGAGGAGAAATGAGATTCAAACTCGGGTCCTCTGACACTGCATCTACCGCAGCGATGCAGTACTCAAACATCGAGGAAGAGGGTGGACTACAGAGCCCAGAATGTCCCTTCCACTTTGGAAATAATTTTATTTTTTATTTTTTCCTTATATCATTTTGTTTATTAGGTAGAGTAGGTCTCATGTGCTTTTTTTTTTTGGTATGATAATTGAATCTCTATTATATGTAAGTTTTTTTCATGAAAAAATATACATTAAGTTTAACATCGAGACTGCCCTGGTTCTCTTATCTATTCTTTAATTTCTTTCTGATTTTTTCTGTATAATTTTTTATGTGTGTTTCCAGCTTTTAAAATATTTTTCTTTATTTAAAAAATAATTTTATTTCCCCCCAGTTACATGTAAAGACAATTTTTAACATTTACTTAAAAATGTTTTGAGTTCCAAATTTTCTCTCTCCCTCCCTCACTTCTCTCCTTGGTCTCCTATGCTTTCACAAACACAAATTACTAATTAACCCCAACTTGAGGAAGGTAATATCTGGCTCATCTTAGGGAAAGCAGGGTCAGCTAGAGTTCACTTTGGTTGGCACTTTGACCAGTTCAAGAATGCTCAGAATGGAATAAGAAATAGGTGAGAGTAAAGAGTAGAAAGGGACGCCAGCCAAAAAATAGTGGCAGCTTCTGGGCTAGGGCTTCATTGTGGGACTCCTTTAGTTGCATGGGAATTCCCAGAAGATCAGATACTCCCACATGCTAATGTGACTATTCAAAATGAATCCTAATGCCAAACACAACCAATTTGTAGTGTTAACTTCAGTTTTGGAACATCTGGGGCTTGGCTTTCCTGCCTGGATAACGGAGAATTGATTATTAGTCAACTAAGTAAGAAAATAATGAAGAAAGAGCATAGGATTGTTCATTCTGGTTTTGCCACTGTTGGCAGTAACCCTCTAAACCTATCAGCATCTCTGAAGTGGGACAGAATCTAGCAGAGAATGTCCGGACAGTGTTTCAAGCTCATCTCCTTGAGGTTAGTGAGTGGAGATGTGTGGAAGCTTCCATCATGACCTTTTAGAATCTGTTTCTGCCATACTTACCGGCTTACCATCCAATCCCAGTGGCCCCTGGAAAACAACAGAAAGTCCAGATATTACTAAGAGTGGAAAAAGTTTGCATTCATTGATTTTGGATGACTTCTTTAAACAAGGAGACAAAAGCTTGGCCCTGATCTTGTATGCATTCAAAGTGTGTTTCACGGTTTTTTTTTGGGGGGGTGGGTGAGTGGAGGGGTATTCTCTTTGTCATGGACTGTGCTAGAAAACAGCAGAGCAGGGAAGATGCCAAATAACACAAGAAGTAAATCCCTAAGAGAGGGGGAAGGCTCCAGATGGGAGATCCTGGCACCTCCCCAAGGAGGCATGGAGTTTGAATCTCCATGACCCCAAGACTGCCCTTGCATGTTCCCTGGCACTGAAGCCCTGGTTCAAGGGATTCTGGCAGCCACAAAGTGCAGTCCCTCCACAGTGTGGCCATGCTAACCATGAGATCTGACTGGATGAAATTTCCATCATCATTCCCTTTTATTCAAATGAGTTATGAATTATAACTCAACACACCCTTCCTCCCCCTTCTCCCCAGTCTTCCCAGCAACATGTCCATACTCAGCTTGGCCTTTGAATCATGGGCCAACCATTTCACTGGAGGCAGAAGATCTAGACTGAAGTTCTTGAATGGTCACTTATTAACTGTGACCTTGGGAGAAGTCAGTGTGATGTAGTGGAAGGAGCACTAAGGCAGGAGACCAGCTTTTCAAATGCTGGCTTTTTCACTTGTTAGCCTTGTGACCTTGGGCAAATTGCTCCTGTCTCTGAGTCTCAGTTATCTCATCTGTAGAATGGGGAGAGTGCTGTCTCAACTCCCTACCTCAGAGGGTTGTTATGAAGAAATTGCTTGGTAAAAATTGAAATGACATAAAAATGTCAGCTCTCATGATTATGAAAAAGTCACTTCCTTCCCCAGGCCTCAATTTCCTCATTTATAAAAATAAGCCCTGTTTTACCTCCCTTTGAGGGTCTTTGTGAGGATGAAGTGAGATAATGGTTGAGAAGCCCTTTGGAGATTAATTGTGAAGCAGAAGGTACGTAGGAGCCAGGGATGGCTCTTATTTCTTGGCATTCTCTTTTGCTGTGTTCTGCTCAGCTCAGCAACAGTAGCATGGGGTAGGTGGCTAGCTCCCCATCCCCTTAGTCCCATGGCTCCTGGGATAATCCTCACCAGGCTGACTGGGAGTGGCCTTTCCTGTAGGGTCAAGTGGTAAATGGCCGGTTTCCTTGGCTCAGTCTTTTAGGCTCTCCCAAGCGATGGAGCGGAGACGGCCAATTTGCCCAATTACATCAAATGATGTGTGACCATGCCGGAGGTGACTCCATGCCCCCAGGGACTTAATGCAGGAAATCTATGCAATTTTGAAAATTGGTCATTTAGGGAGTCTATTAAGCACTCTCGGCTGGTCTGAAGAGGGACACAGCTGCAATTTCACCGTCTGAGGGATATTCAGAGAGGAGACAACCATCCCTTTGGAGAACCCAAGAAGTCTTCTGCCTATGTCACTTCATGATCCACACATACCATTTCAGAGACGGGAGGGGACCTGAGAGGTCATCAGGTTCACTGATGCTGTCATTCTCAGCTTCCTTCTCCCTTGATTAATTCACAATAGAGTTGGCAAAACCTTTTGTCTCATCCATCATATTGCCTCCACTTCCCCCTATGTAATTGCTCTGTAACCCCTTGCCTCCTGGCTTCTGTCCCTACCACATGACTGGAATTGCTCTCTTCCAGGTCAAAATATTCTCCTAATGGCCAAATCCAATACCTTTTTCTAAGTCCTCCTCCACCTTGACCTCTCTGTGGAATTGGACACCATTGACCACCCTTTTCCTTCTGGATGCCTTCTCCTCCCTTGGCTGGGGGTGGTGACATTACTTTCCCTTAGCTCTTCTCCAAGATTTCTCATTGCCCACTCTCAATCACCTTCATTGGATTATCTTCCATATCCCCACTCCCTAAATTTATTGACCCAAGACTTACACCTTCTCTTCTTTCTCTACCTGGCAAGTTCATCCACAGTCCTAGTTTTTATTGTTATCTTTGTGTATAGAAAACTCACTCTCAGATCTCTGTTTCAAGCTCTGACCTCTCTCATGAGCTCAAACCTCACATTTTCAGATTTCTATGGGATGTCTGCACCTATTCATGGGGATGGACCACTGGCACCTGCAACCTAACATGTCTCAAACTGAACATATCATCTTCACCTGCAAACCAGTGGTCCAACTGGATTTCCCTATTCTTCATCCTTCAAAGCACAATGGATAGAGAGAGAGTCAGGAAGACCTGAGTTCAAATCTGGCCTCAGACACTTACTGGTGAGCTGTGTCACTTTAGGCAAATCACTTAACCACTGTCTGTCTCATTTTCCCTCAACTATACAAAAGAATGGGGGTAATAATAGTACCTGCCTCCCAGGGTTTGTCGTGAGGATCAAACAAGACAATATTTGTAAAGTGCTTAGCACAGGGCCTGGCATATAGTAGGTGCTTAATAAATGCTTGTTTCCTTCCCTCCTCTTCTAGTCACTGAGGCTTGACATCTTGGGAATTATCTTGACTCTTCTCTCCCTCTCCCACATTCAGTCTGTAACTAAGTCAACTGGATACTTCCTTTCCCAGGTCTTCCGTGTCTGGCCTTTCCCCTAAAATAGACCTTTATATGTCAGGCCCAGACTATTGCAACAATCCTATTAATCTCTGAGGTCCATGATTGTAGGCATCCTTTAAAAATCATCTTTATATGTTTTCCCAATACGTAGCACATGTTAGGTATGTAAAAAACGGTTGCTGAATGAATGACACATTAATAGAGTTATTGATTACACGGTCTCTTCCCCTCTAATCCTCCTACACAGTCTACTGGCATCTTCCTAAAACACCTATTTTTGCTTATCATTCTTCTGCTGAAAATCCTTTATTGGCTCCCCATTGTCTAGAGGATAAAACCCCAACTTCTCAGTTTATCATTCAAGGCTCCACAATCTGGCCCCACCCTACCTTATCTTCCAATGCTCCCTTAGTTTCAGGTTCCAGGTTGGATATTAAAGTACAGATAAAGAGCGTTTACCATCTGTTCCATTCATTGGCACTTAGCTATTTGGTCTACATTGCCATTCATTTTCTTATATCTGAATCCTGACTCTCCAACTCTCTCTGCAAGTCCTGAGGGAGGGGGTCGGGGTCATCAATCAGTCAGTCAATAAACACCCACCAACTGTTAGTCACTAACAACCAGGTTAAGAGCAGCCATGTGACCATAGATAGTTTCTTTCTATGTAAAATGAGGAGAATGAGTTTCCTTCTCTAGCTGCTGTGAGGAGCAAGGAGGAAATTGATGGAGAAGTTTTCCATAAACTAAACTGTGAGTAACAATGCATGATATTAGGTATCAGAGGAAGAAAAGTAGAGTCTTGGCAATGGATGCTTGGATGGACCCACTGAAGACAGAATCTCAAATGTAAGGGATGGAGGTAGGAAGAGGAAAAAGTCATTCGGGCTCCTTAGGCAGTCCCAGGGGCCGGCACAATCTTCCTTTAACTCTTCCTCCAACTTTCCCTCCTTTTCTCCACCCCCTCTCCTCAGCTCTGCTCTTTGAGAAGGAACACCTTTAATTAATTAAGCCTCTCAGTCCCAGCTGACAGCAGTCATTTCCATCTGGGGTAAAGTGATTTATCTGTGGGGCCTGCTCGGCCTGTTCAGCCTTCTCAGCCCAGGCCGTCACATCACAGAAGAAATAAAAGTCCTCATTCAGCTCTAAACTCTACTTTAATCTCTTTTTAATCTTTGTTTGAATCATGGATTTAAAAAAAAACCCCACCCAGATTTATAGATTGAAGTTTTTCCTCTATGATTTCCCAGCCCTGTGAGCACATGCATCTTTCATAGGCCACCCCCCTCCCCAGTGGAGAGGCCTGGCCACACAGAGGGACAGTTTGCACTGTGGTTCAGACACACAGGGAGCATCCAGGGCACACACGCAGAGGGCATTGTGCTCAGTTCCTGCTGGAGTGCAGTGTACCGGAGATGTGCAGGAATGGGATATATGATGGGCATCATGTCTGTTAGATAGAGAGGGCATGATACCCAAGATACATAGGATTTCAATGTGCTTCGGATGCAGGGCAGGCACCATGCCCAGAACACACAGACGATATCATGTCCAGGACATATAAAAAGACAGTGTATCTGGGTTATGTGAGCCATACCGTGCCCAGAGCACATGTGAGGAGCATGATGCTCTCAGGACATATAATTGTAAACAGGATATATAATAGTCATTATTCCCAAAATATACTGGAAGATAATATTCCTGGTATACAGTTTTCAAGAGGGAGATATGTCTGGGATACATGAAGGGCCATCATACCTGGGACATGCAGCTGTCTGGGATATATGGGGGGCATTTTGCCCAGGACCTAGGGAAAGCCAGTGTGCCCATGACCCATGGAAGGTATTGTACTTGGAGTGCAGCATGCTCAGGGCATGCCCAGGGCAAGGCGTGATGCCTGGGGGTGGCATTCTGGATTCCAGATAACTCAACCCAATGACCTCAGATGAATCAAGTTTGAAACCTGACAAATAAAGGTAGGGGAGGCAGAAGGGAGCCGTGATAGCAAGGCTGATTGAGCCTGTTACTAAGAGGCCTGGACTTGGAATACATTCTTTCTAGTAGTCAGGGGGAAAAAAATTAAACAGGAATTTAAAGACACAGTGCTTTCATTTTTGCTCGGCTACATCTGGCTTTGATCATTGGTTGGTACCAAGACACCAAGTAGCATCTCAGGAAGAACAGGAGGGGGGTGCTGCTTGGGGCCTGGGAAAGGCAGGGCCATCAGACCTTTGACCCCTGCCCTCAGAAGTACATCAGATTCCTATTCTGTCTTCCAGTTTGTTAGCGATCCCTTCAGCTTTCTGTCACATAAAGATGTCACGTATGCCATTGTTCAGCTTACTGATGAAAGTATGTAACAGAAAAGGGTCAGGGATGGAGCCCTAAGGTCACCACCAGAGAG